TTCCCCAGCCCAAACCTCACGCAGGCTGAGCTCGGCGAGCCCGTGCTGGAGACGGTGCTGGAGGCCGGAGACCTGCTGTACTTCCCCCGCGGCTTTATCCACCAGGGTGACTGTCTCCCTGACGCGCACTCGCTCCACATCACTGTGTCTTCCTACCAGAGGAACTCCTGGGGGGACTTCCTGGAGAAGCTTCTTCCAGCTGCCCTGCAGATGGCCGTGGAGGAGGACGTGGAGTACCGGCTGGACTACCTGGGGTACATGGGGGTCGCCAACTCGGACGCAGTCGACACTCGCCGAACGGCTTTTATGGAGAAGGTGCAGAGCCTGATAAAGAAACTCATTCACTATGCACCCATTGATGCTGCCGTGGATCAGAGAGCCAAGGCGTTTCTTCATGACTGTCTCCCCCCAGTCCTTACGCAAAGTGAAAAGGCGCGGAGTGTGTATGGCTTCCCGGCCCGGTGGCAAAATGGAGGCCCCTGCGATGTCGATATACTGATAACAAAAGACACAGAAGTACGTCTCCTCCGCCATGGCGTCGTTAGATTGTGTAATGAGGAAGCCGGTGTGATGCTGTATTACACAACAGAAAACTCAAGAGTGTATCACAAGGAAGAACCCAAGTTCCTTGAGCTAGATCCCGAGTATACAGAGAGTATTGAATTTCTCCTGTCCTCCTATCCAAACCACGTCAGTGTGGATACCCTTCCATGTGAAACCTTGGAGGACAAGATTTCTCTAGCCACGCTCCTGTTTGAGAAGGGCATTTTGACTACGAAGAAGCCTCTGGTGCAAGTGTAACTCTTACTTTTTAACAAAATACATTTTAACAAAATAAATGCATTTGTTTAGAAAGTGATCTGTCTTGTTCTTGTCTTGTACCAGCAGTCCAGATCACAATATCTCATCTGGGGGCAGAAGGGCTTTGGTGTGGGTAGAGAAATCAAAAGTTCTGATCAAAACGGGTATCTGCTCTAGGAGCGATTCTGCATGGCCGAGTGACTGGAGAAGGGAAGTGCTTCATTTTTTATTTTAGCCTTTCGCCAGCCATACTACTACACCCTAGGTAACTTCTGGAAGCTAGTGAACTTTCTTGCAGTCTGTAAATCTTCTGTGTGTTTACACAGTGTTTTAAAGCAGCCTGCCCTACTGCAGGAAGTACTGTCCTTACTCCCAGGCAAATTTGGTGATAGTCACCGTTCTGCGTGTCTGTGCTGCGCCACGCTGCAGCTGCGGCGTGGCCTTCAGGCCTGTGCTGTGCTGCAAAGATCCCTTGACCACAGGGAAAACTCAGCCAATTCTTCCTAAAAGTGGAGCCCACAGGCAGGTCCCACTCTGCCAGCAATTACGCTGCCTGCGTGGCCCCACTGTTATCGCACAGTGCGGCAAGGTGCTCTCGTGTGAATGGGAGCTGCTGCATTTGAAATGCTTCAGGCTCGGTCTCTTCTTCAGTCTGATAATTGCAAGCTGTCTTAGTGATAGAATAACCTGCCCCGCTGTTTTTTCCCCCAGCAGCCCCTAGCAAGAAAATTACCAGTCCTTTCAAGGCAAATGGGGCACCCTGTAATATGGAGGTTTTCATGCTGCATGCAAAAAGTCTCCTATCAGGACCTAACAAGTTACATGAATACGTGCCTGGCCGTGTGGCCAATTCCCCTCAATACTGACAAACCTCAGATACACTTTTCCACAATGCTGTTTTATCGTCACACTCAGCAGGTGGGCAATATTCTGTCTTTAAAAGCTCCTGAAGGAGCAGGCTGCATTACTCTGAGCCTTTCTGAGCTGTTGTGTCATCAGGGTCTTGCAAGATGGCACCCACGCACTCTAATTGTTTAGGATTTAAGTGTACACTATGTCCTCCGAAGTCCTATATTTGCAACAGCCAGTGCACCAGCCTTTCCCCCCTCTTTTGCCCGTATGGTTTTGCTAAATCTTGAAACTTGGACTATGTAAAATCGCACACCACGACAGCGTGCTGAGGTGCCCCTGAGCACCCCTTTGCTTCGTGAATCACTAGCGGCTGGACAGAAATGCTGGTGCCGCACTCATCCTCCGATCACTTTTTCTACTTGTCCTCACCAGAGGATCAGCGGTCCTCGTCCCACCATCCATCCCCCTGGCAAATAGCTCATGCCTCAGCGGTGCCCTTCCTGGGCTGCTCTGTGTGTCCCCCTTCCAACCAGAGACACCTGCACCGTGGCCACCTGTGCCGCGGGTGCTTGCCGCGCAGGTAGCCGTACCGCAGATGTTGGCACCACTGGCAGCTGTATGGCAGGTGCCCGCACCGCAGCTTGCTGCTTGGGGGCTGTGGTGCGGAGCTGCACCAATAGCTCATGCAGCTCTTTCTGCATTGGCCCTAAGCATCCCCATGTCCGTTTCAAGTATGTTAACAAGAACCAAAGACAGCACAAATTCTCCTTAGCTTTTCCTTTCCCTGGCCCCTGTTTTTTAAGACAACATAATACTTCAGCTGGGGTGGGGCATTCCGATAATTCCTCCTCAGTTTCCAAATCCACTGGGGAAACCGCCTGGGCTAAACACCTTGCAAATACCCCTCACGGATTTGTGTGGGGCCAGCCAGGCACAGAATTTCTTTTTTCTTCTTCGTTCTATCTCCAGAAAGGCATTTCTCACTGAGACCTGTTGACTCTGCCAAATGTTTTGCAGTAGGAGGTGCTGGTCCTTTATGATCCCAGTAAGAAAGGCACTCGCGTTCTGTAAGGTATCATGCTATTTATCAGAGCTAACACTCTCAGAAGAAAATAGCATACATAATCTGACATCCCTTTAGATGCTAGGAACCCCGAGCAGCGTAGCATGTAACAGGACTCTGACCCACATGTAGCACGCCATGCAGCATGGTCCGTAGCAGAGATTCTCCTCTTTTGGTCTGTGATGCTACTGTAAGATTTTTATATAAGAAACCAGCTCTATCATGTCTACAGTCAAACAGAAACGATGTTGACACGAGAACGGCTTGCTGCACTGTTCGGTAAAGGCAAGGCCACGCAGGTAATGGCAGGTACTGGGTGGGAGCTGCCTGTGGGCTCCTCTGTAAGGAAAAGCTGGCCGAGTTCCCCCTGCGGCCGGGGGATCCATGCAGCACAGCACAGGGCTGAAGGCCTCGCTCCACTCCCAGCACGGCACAGCGCGGCACGGCACAGCCCTGGGCCTGCTCGGGTTAGCTCTGCTGTGGGTCGTGAACTGCTCGATGTACAGTGGGCTTCCCTTCAGGATCACTACACTGACTTCCACTGAGAAAAAGGGTGAGATGCTGTGGGATATCTGGAAGACCAGGGACATATGGTGAGCAACCCAGACACACTGAATATGGACTACGTGACTATCTGAACGCATATAGGATCATTTTATGTTAGCAATGAGCTGGAGGACATTTTGAGAATGTAATAAGATGTGGGAAAAATGCAGAGAGTTATACAAAGAAGCAAGCTTGTGGAACAAGGGATGGATACTTGTGGAACCGGAGATAGATAAAATTAAGAAATAGAGTCTTAGTAACAAGGTGAGACAAAGAGCTTGTGTGCTAGACAAAGAACTTGTGTCTAATTTACGTAGAAGCTATGCATAGCATAAGCACCTATCCGCAGCCTTTCTAAGAAGCGTGATAGTCGCGTGGACAGTATTTGTAGCCAATTAGAGCTTGAGCAAAAGAGTGTATGGAAGTAGAAAACATAATATAAGATGCGCTTTGAGCATAATAAAGTTGGCTTTCTTCTGATCATATTGGTCGTGTGAAGAGTCCGTGAATTCCGCGTCAAGATGCCTAAACGGGTTTCAGACCTAGTGACAAACTGACCTCTCAGGTTCGGAATAAGAAAGCAATTTATCTGCTTCATGCTTTGTTCCCTATATAAAATAGGAATGCATTTTCTGTGGATGTTTGAATTCACAATAATAATAGTAATGGAATATGGAACGCACGATAATGCTACAAATACACTTGCGATAGCAATACTTCATCCTTTTCTAATGTCCTCCAGCACTGAAGATCTCTGTATTTCTTGAGTATCAATACTTTTCAATGTGCAACCCAAGACAAGGTAAAAAACTATGATTACCCTTGTTTTACACACAATGGCTAGCAAGGAAAACTCTATGTAGCTCGGCCAAAAGCACATGGCATCTTTTGCAAAATTTAGAAAAGCAAGCTATTTGCATTAAGTTAACAACACAGACATTGCTTTCATGGTCTCTTACTTTCTAGTATGTATGTAATCAAGTATGAAGAGATGGGTCAAAATTAGTTCACCCAATTCCCTTGATTTCTGAGGTGTCTTAAATTAGAGTGTTTATTTGGAGCATATATATTCTATGGCTTTTTATAATATTGGATCCAAAGGTGTCCTTCTTGGGTACTGATGATTTTATAGTACAATGGTGCTGACAAAGAGAAAAGAGGCAATTGCTTGATTTCGTAATGTTTCATAGCAGTTAGAATTTCCCATACCCACACACAGATCAGCAGCCTCTACACTGCTCCACTGCAGCAGATGCACCAGCCACGATAGCCTTGAGCCCACTGATAACGTGTATGCTTGTGAGAGCCCTCGATGAACCTTCTGATGTCACACTTTATCACTGGAGATCTGGCATTGGAGAGGAAAACGTGTTCAGACAACTGGCATTGTGATCTTCTCTATACTTCTTACATACAAAAGATCTCCCTGGGATATATTCACCAGGAAAATGGAGGAGACTTTAATCATTCCCACAGCTGCCCTTTATTTTCTGTTTCCCTGCTCTAGAGATGGCATCTCCATGTGATCAGTCAGAAATGGGCTTCCAAAATGACCTCATGGTGGGGAAGAGTTTCACAGAAGGCGAGTGGAACTGTGAAGCTGTCGTGCCCACAGCAGGAAATGCACCTTGCCAATTCACCTGGAATTCCAGTTGAAAATTTCTCATCCAAAAGCTAGCGAAAACTATTCTCAGGCCTTACTGGCGATATTCCTCCACTGAGAGGAAATGGGAAAAGTGCAAGAATACACTTGTATTACAATCTATGGGTGAGACAGCTCTGCTCCTTTAAGTGATCATACATTATCTGCTACAGGGCACTTCCTCTGTGCAGTTTTCCTCTCCTCACATCTTGGACCTCACCCCTCATGATAACCCCACACAGCAATCTGATCAATGGCCTGAGGATGGCTGCCAGAAGGAAAGGGATGGCTGATACATCAGAATCAGTCCTTGATCAAACAGTCAGTCTGTCAGAAACCTGCGTATACCCTTAGTACTCGTAGTGCTAAGTACTAGTACTTAGATCTCCTAGTAAGCGTCTGGATTCATCCTACTCACCACATGTAGGTGATCTCCAGTATGTATTTTTAAAACACCCAAAATGTTGTTGCCAATTCCCCACATGTATGAATTCAGGGAAAGGGGCAACCTTTTGCAAAGGAAGCCTGCAGCTTCGCCGAGTTTGGGAGAGAAGCCCAGGTATGGGGCTGCAGCTGCACCTTCCCCTGGCTCCGCTCCTGCAAGGATAATAACTAGCAGGCCTGAAGGTAGATTGCTCCCAGGAACCTGCCCTGCATTTGCACTTGCCATTTGGAAACTGCCGCTGTGGTAGCTGGCCTGAAAGCAGATAAAGCCTGTGCAGCCATGGGACAGTGGGGCCTGGGCAGAGCTGCTGCCTTTGGAGATGCTCCTGCGGTGCCAGGGGACTGCCTGTGCCGAGCCTGCCCTGCCGTGGGCACTGCCAGGGCTGCCTTGGCATCTGCCAGCGCATCGTGTGCCTCTACTGTATGGCCTGTCCAGAGATGGGGTTTCATACCTATAAACGAGAGAAAAAAGAGTTTACTTCTTCTCTGCATGCTTAGTATCTTCAG